TAGATATAGATATAGATATAGATATAGATATAGATATAGATATAGATGATATAGATATAGATATAGATATAGATATAGATATAGATATAGATATAGATATAGATAGATATAGATATAGATATATGTGGATCTTTGGTTATTTGGGTTAGCACAACTACAATGACGTGGGAAAATACCCGAACAAAGCTGAACACCATACATACATACATACATATAAATATGTATATGAATATGTATATGTATATATTGAAATAAAGCAAATTTCATTATCAAATATAAACTAAGGGCTGAGAATCAGAAAGGCCATTCCAACACTGTGTACTTATGCAGCAAATTCTCCACAGTACTTCACCTCAGGGTGGGTAAGGAAGCCCTCCTATTTTTTGTTTAAGAATACATATGGGTGATCTGCCAATATATACAGAAGGTTGTAATACATAGAATGTGCTAACATCCATTCTTCTTAACCTAGATACACGGCACACCAAGAAACCTAATTAGATAATCTATATAAATGTGAACTAACTTTGATTAAAGGCATCTGTTATGCAACATTAACCACAAGAGATCTCAAATCAGTTTTAGGCAGGACTGGAGAAGTAACGTAGGCTTCAGGTAGTCCTCAACTTATGACCACAATTGAGCCCAACATTTAGATTGCCAAGTAAGAAATTTGTTAAGTGAGTTTGCCCCATTTTACAACTTTTCTTACCAGGTTTGTTAATTGAATCATTTCAGTTGTTAAATCAGTCACATGGTTGTTAAGTGAACCTGGCTTCCACATTCGCTTTGCTTGCCAGGTCGCAAAAGGTGATTACATAACCACTGGACACAGCAACTGTCATAAATATGAGTCAGTTGTCAAGTGTCTGAATTTTGATCATATGACCATGGGGATGCTGTAATGGTCATTTAAGTGTGAAAAATGGCCATAAGTCACTTTTTTCAATGCCGTTGTAACTTTGAACAGTCACAAAATGAACTGTTGTACGTTGAGGACTACCTGTATTACATATGCCCAATATACATATGCTCGATGCATATATATTGAGCATATGTGTGTATATATGCATCTGTGTATATGTAAGTATGTACATATATTTGGGGTAAAGCCTCTGTCTATCATCTAATGGTATAGTAACATACAGGATTAAAAATGTAAAAAAACTAATGAATGATGAAAGGTATCTATAAAAGTATCTAGATCTCCAAGGTCCTTTCCAATGCTATTATTGGAATGCTATTATTCAGAATAACAGGACTGGAAGGGACCGTGGAGGTCTTCTAGTCTAACCCCATGTTCAAGCAGGAGACCCTATACCCGTGATGGCAAACCTATGGCATGCGTACCACAGGTGGCATGCAGACCCATTTGTGCCGGCACGCGAGCTACAGGCAAACTTACCTCACTGCGCATATGCGTGCTTCATAGCTGATTTTCGGCCAGTTTGAGGCCTTTTTCGGCCTCCAGAGGCTTGAGGAAGGCTTCTGAAGGCCCATTTCATCACTTTCTGTTTTTCCAGAAATACTGGAAGTGACAAAATGGGCCTAGTTTTCAGCCTGCAGAGCCTGCAGAAGCCTTCCTCAAGCCCCTGGGAGGTCGAAAAAGGCCTCAAACCAGCTGAAAATCAACTGTGAGGCACAGTGCAGATAAGGGGGCGGCAGCGGATGGGTGGGGATTGCGCGCACATGTGTAGGGGGCATGGGGAGGCACACAAAGCTTTCTGGGTGCTGGCACGCGAGTGTGATCGTGCTAGCGTGCACACAATTTTTGGCACAGGAGCCCCAAAAGGTTAGCCACCACTGCCCTATACCATTTCAATGGTTGTTCAATCTCTTCCTAAAAACACTCCAGTGATGGAGCATCCCCAACTTTTGAAGTCAACTTGTTCCACTGATTAATTGCTCTAACTATCAGGAAATTTCTCCTTAACTGTGGCATCTGCTTTTGCAACACAGCTTCCACTTGTACGAAAAGGGGCCTGAGTAAACCACTGATCTGGGGCTGGTGGCTGACCCTTTGACATTTTCAAATTGATGGGAAAAGGCAATACGAGGCTGGGGTAGATAGGTTGTGCAGCAGGCATTCCATTCTCTGCCTCTAAGGCTAGCTAGAGTTGCTCTCCATCTCAGCTTACCCCAAGCAGTGAAGTCTTTTTAATCATTACCTGTGCCATCAGAAGTACAGCATGTGAGTAGTTTTCATTTTGCTTTGCTTTTACTTTGCTTTTCATATTTGCTGCATATTGTAGACCTCTTGCTATTCACACCCTCTAGTGGATCATGACCCATAGCTTGGAGACTCTCTGAATTAGCACTTATTTGATAGGATTTTGTCTAGAAGTTTAAGAATACTAATATGAAATATATAAAACCCACACTCTTTGCTTCTGTTACCGAGCTTACATTTCAAATATCACAATATGTTGGTTTTTTTAGAGCCCCTAATTTTTGACCTTCTCAAAAGAAATGCGATAATTGAAAGGAAAAAAATAGAGCAGTGCTAGTGTTAAAATTGATACATTCTGCAAAGTCAGGTATTCTATTAAGCACAATATAGAAAAGTGTTTATCCTTCATTTCCAAATGTATAATTCTTTGTTGAGTGAAAAACTGTGTGACAATCAGAGTTTGCTTTGGTGAGACAATAAAAATCGATTAAATAAATACAATACCCTAGAACAAGTTCAAATTGCTGATAAAATAAAACTGAATATATCTGTGAACTGTGTGAAGATTTCTAACATTATTTCTTGTGCATGAATTGCCAAGGTGTGCACCCTGTAACAAAAGTTTGGTGAATGTGTTTGAACTTGTGTGAGTTGACTCTGAGAATTCTCACACCCCCATGAATCCCAGAGCATTTGTATCTCAGCAAAGTTCTCCCTTTGGGCTAACCACAAATTCTGGCATATGTGCAAATGAATGCAAGGATTTTCTATATTGCTATACAGGTAGTCTTCGACTTAAAACAGTTTGAAGTTACATTGGCATTTTAAAAAATGACTTATGACCATTTTTCATACTTATGATCTTTGCAGCATCCCCATGGTCACATAATCAAATTTCAGATGCTTGGCAAGTGGTTCATATTTATGACAGTCATGGTGTCCTGGAGTCATGTGACAACCTTTTGCGACCTCTGACAAGCAAAGGTAATGGGCAAGCCAGATTCAGCTAACAACCATGTTACCATCTTAACAACTGCAGTGATTCACTTAACAACTATGGCAAGAAAGGTTGTAAAATGAGGCAAAATTCACTTAATAATTGTCTTCTGCTTAGCAACAGAAACTTTGGGTTCAGTTGTGGCCATAAATTGAGGAATACCTGTATTTAACTTGTTATCCTGGAGTTCAAGACAACTTAGAACTGGAAATTTGAAGAAGCTCTTCAGAAAAATGAATGTAGACTGGGCAAAGTATTAGAATTAGAAAAATAGAGTTGGAAGGGACCTTGGAGGTCTACTGTCAGTGTCAGCTGGGACTTTCCCAGGAATGAAGGAATGGCTGAATTAAGCCCTGCTCTTAGAAGATGGAGTTAGAGGGACTCTTGAACCTACAATTATAGATTAGAGGTAAATGGGTATGCTCACCTATAGTTCTCTCCGGAATAAACGTTTTCCCCTCCTAATTGAGCATAGTTTGGGAAGCTTCTGGAGATGAGA